GGGTAATAAAAATAAGTTGTGTTTCTCTTTTCCTCTTCTGAAAAGCACTAGGTGTTCTCAAATATTTGATTTTTCTATTCAGGGTATTCTTAAAAAAGAAGTAAGCTGAGGAAAATAAACAGGCTATCTTTCTTCACCTATTTATAAGATTTCTAGAAAGAGAAATATCACACAATTTGTGTGGCAAGGAAGAATTTTTAACAGCTTAAATAAAAAAATAGTAAGGGAGAGTTGGATTGACTGATAGGTATAGTTTAAAAGATCAAGAGAGCCCAGAAAAATGGAAAGGATAAGTTGGAGCATAAAGCGTATCATTTGTGTTTCAAAACATCCTTCAAACTTTTTTTTGTTGTACACTAAAAAGTCGTAGATAACCAAAGTGACAGAGGTCTCAAATGCCTCCTCAGTCCTTCTTAACCTTTCACAGTACGGCCTTCACAGGATTGATAGAATTCTGGGAGTCATTGTAGTAAACCTGCAAGGCTGCTCTGAGCCAGATGCAGCCACTTTGGAAGCATCTGGAAGTATCCCAGTCTGATCCACACCTTTGTTATAACACTTAGCAGAGAGGTACGTTGCCTCTCTTCTCTGTTGTCAAAGCAAATTGCACTTGACAAAGTTAGAAAAGTTGTGCCCCGTTCTTGCCAAATGTATGTGACACCTTAACAAAGGACCAGATGCTGAGAAAACCCCGATTTGGAGCCTGCCTGGCTGTGAGCACCGTTGCCACCTGTAAGAGGCTGCCCAGAGTGCACTCTTCTCCTCCGGGTTCCTAGGCCAAGTTAGGAATGGGGAAGGGGCAGAGAATTTCCAAACTCTAATCTGCTCCTGGCAGATAAATCCCCTTCCCCCCTCCTTCCACACTGCTCACTCCCCAGAGGCAAAGTTTAGAGAGATTTCTAGATTCTCTGCTAAAGGTGATGTGGATTTTTGTGCCTCAAGAAAACTCTGAATTCAAGATAAGCCTCTACAGTGGAAAAAAGTCTCAGAGTGATTTTTCTTATCTCTGCTGTAAGAATGGGAGTAAAGTCAGATTCAGGCTTTAAGATGAAAAATGGTTTCCCTCATATGTTTTGAATCGCTAAAATGAAAGCATCAGAGAGAATTTAAAAGCAAACCACAACTTTGACCTACTAGAATCTGCAGCCTAGCCTTGACCTACCTGCCAGGTGCTCATTACACCTGGACCTCACTGCTCCCAGGACTCTGCTCCAGCCACACCAACTTCTTCCAGTTCATGAGTGTCCCTTGCTCCTTCCGGCAACAGAGTCTCTGCGTATGTGCTTCCTTCACCCGGAACCCTCTCCTCTCTCTTTCCTCAACCACCCCCCTCTCCCCCTTTGCCTAGTTAACTTCTCTAGGTCCTTTACCTCTCAGGTTAGACTATGCTTTCTCCAGTTACCTTCCCTGATCATTCTGACCAGGTCAACCCTCTATTAGAGACAGTCTTCCAGTTTCCACTTGTATTCCTTCACGTGGTTTTCTTAATCAACAATCACCTTCCCCACCAAACTGTAAACTCCATGATGGTGGAGACTTGTTTTCTTGAACCCTCCATGATTCTTCCCCCAGCACCACCTAACACAGTGCCTAATCACATACAGAAGGTGATTAGTATATAGTTCATGATTTATGATTGAATGAATGGGCCTGTTGATTTCGTTCACCTTAGTCTCCCTTAGATTTGTCTTTCTCAAAAGAGTTAACAATAGTTTGAAACAGTCTTCTGATAAAGAATGCCACTCTGTAGTTTTAATTCAATAGGTAGGAAAGGATAGTAAACCGCATCTAGGGCATTGACAAAATGAAGGTACAATCAGTGACAAAATCATCCCTCTATATTTCTCCTAAGGCTTTAGGAAAGGATGAAAATCCTGGTCCCTGCCAATGTGTCATAAGCTATACCTGATGCTTTTTATTTTAGGACCATTTCCAGAACTGGTTACAGTAATTTTATTATTTTATTGGATAAATCGGAATTCACTCCTATCTCCAGATGGACTCTCAATCTCTAGATGTTTTAATGGTACCATGATCTTACTTTTAAAAACTCAGCACTCAGAGGTCTAAGTGATATGTTGGTGAATAAATATTATAATTAAAATTTGAATTTTTTATTAATTTTTATATTCAGCTAAAATTGCTTTTTAAAAAGATGCATGTGGCATCTGGGTAATTCCAAGACCATTTACTAAAATTATTCTGATTAGAGTATGGCTTGTCCTGGGGGCTCTGGAGCCGTTAGTGTTTAATAAGCAATAACATGGATGATAAGGTAATTTTAGGAAGTGGCAGGAAACTTGGATCCACTAAGAAGATAGCCAGTGAAAATAATGAATGGTTATTGACTGTTTCAGAAAAGATGATTCTAAATTATTTTAAATTAATTCTAAAAAACTGTATTAGCCCTCAAATTTGTTTTCTCCCCACTGCATTTTGTTTGTTTGTTTTGACAATGAGGTGAGAAGAGATACAAAGGATCGCCAGAAGTACTTATAGCATTAAAAAGTGTATTGGTTGATATCTCATCTTGAATTAAATTGGAAGTAGTCAACAATTTCCCAGTCTTAAGAAAATCACCAATTTGTAAAATCGCCTGCAAGGACATTGGACACTTAGGAGACTTGAAGCGCTGATGTGCCAGAGAGCCTGAAATTTATTCTCGAAAAGCTTTTGGCTCTTGGAAAAGGTTCAGATAGATTTCAGGAGTATGTTGTGCTGGTTCTGAAGTGAAGGTCACATTAACTAGTCATTGGAAATATTTAAAGATTAGCGTGAATGGGTATATTGCCATGTCAAGTAAGAAGCTCAGATGCCCTATAAAGTGAACTCAAAAACAATTGTGTTCCATGGAATTCACTTTTGGGGTGAGTGAGGCCTTTGGCCTGGGAGCTATGAAGAATGGCCAGAGAAAGCTCGTAACCTTTGTGACAGCATGCTGGCATCTGGACAGTACAGGCTGCCTCACCTAGTTGATGTCACTAAAGCCAACAGACAGGCGCCCACAGGGCGGCACAGACAGTAGGTGCTCTAGCAGGAGGAACGGGAATGCAGCACGTTCTCTGGGGAGAGCACTTCTCTCCTCTTGCTTGAACTGTCAGTAACTCTCCTTTACCAATATCACAGAGGCTAGCAGGTTAAAACCCAAAGTAAACTCGGAAATTAGCCAGTCCAATTCATGTAGATTTTAGAGGTAGAAACCAAGACCCAGAAAATGGAAAAGACTCTCCCCAATGTATTTCTGTATTTATGTTTAAATGGCAGTGTGCGACTTGATAGCACTTCACTGATGTGAAGACCTGTGCAGGGAAGGGCTAATGGTATTAAATATGCATGTTTAATATGCATGCATTTAGCTCTCAGATGGGAGCAGCTCTCAAAGACAAAGACAGACAGGAACAGCCCTCGTGAAAGTGGCAGACTAAGCTGAGTTTCTTTTGCACTACGGTGAGCAAAGCATTTTCAAGTGGGAGCTCAGTTTTGCAGCTCTTTGGGCCCAAAAGGAAACGTCTGTGTTGCTCTGGGAAATGAAAGCTAGCCTGACAGGGTGAACGGTGGCACTGAGCATCCATTTTTCTTAATTATGTTAATTAAAATCTTAAAGTTTTTCTAGAAATAATTTGCCTATAGATGAGAAAAACTTCTTGGCCCCAGATACAATTATTTAAAGGGTACATGTTGCTGAGTTGCTGCTGAGGGTGTTAAATGCACATTCTCATTTCACTGTACGGGCTCTGCGTCTCCTTTAGTTTATGTAACACAGTGTCTACAGAGCAGAGAATATCCTGAGCGGGAAAACATGGGAAGCTGTCAGTGGAAAATCTGCTGTGTTCCTTCCTCTAAGTTAAATCTAGAGTCCCATGAGGACAGCTTCCTTCTAGAGCTCACTTTGGCAATCCACGCTAAATGTGACATTTCCAGCCTGTGTGGACAGGGGATCAAGTTCACTTGCCCCCAGCAGGAAGGAGTGTGGTTCCGCCATCCCCAAGGCGTCCCTCAATATGCCCTCAGCTTTCATCAGGCAGCTCCTTCCTCAGGGACTCCACTGATACCTACAGCACTTTTGTTCACAATAGAAAAAGGCCACTCTGGGCTATAGGCCTGCGCCCTATTTCTGCACAGTCAGTTGAGCTCTCACATCTTCTTTTCTTCCTTTGTTAGTTAGGCTAACATGCAGCACCTCCAATCCTCAGGACAAATGACTGGACTCACTTGACTGTCCATTTTCACAGTTCCGAGGTAATAAAAACATGAAAGAACCCACAAGTCTATACTCCGGGGCCGGTTTTGTGGTTGAGATCACCTTCCTCTTTCACAGTGATGGGCTGAGCTATAGGAGCAGCCTCCTTATGCACAGAGGAGGCCTCATCTCAGTTCAGAGTCCCATAGTGACTGGGGACAGCTGCCCCCTGGGGACCTGCATGTAGTTCCCAACACCGGGGCATGAGCAAGGGCGCTCCTAGCTCCTGTTCCAACCTTCTGACACCAGTGACTTCCCAGTCCTTCCCACCGCCTGACCTGGTGCCCGCCCTGCACACTGTCAGATAAACATACTCATGGAAGCCCCATTCTCCAAGCAGATTTAGATATCAAGGTAGCATAATTGTGCCTTTTTCCCCTTACATTGCTAAATTTTCATTCCTTTCTTTTCTATGTACGAAGCCTCTTTGAAGTTTTGGGATCTTTTGAAGTAAGCCTTTTTTTGTAGCACAGGCATAGCTCTATCTATCTGATTTGAGCAGCATCATGATGTCCCAATGTAGAATATTCAAGTTAATAACTTTATTTTTATGTCCTCCTAACAGACGATAATCTCTCCTGCTAAAATAGACATAAGAATTTATAGCCTCATACTTTGGTGTGGGGAGAGAAGACTGATTATAAAACTGTTCTGACATTTATGTTGATGAATTCATTTCTTCCCCATTGCTTGTTAATAACATGTAAATGTTGACTTTCAACTCCAGTTTAATACAATTTTAACTCTTTTTTTTTTTTAGCACCTGAGATTCTTCGAGGTTGCGCCTATGGACCAGAGGTAGACATGTGGTCTGTAGGAATAATCACCTACATCTTGTAAGTAAAGAACAACAATCTTTTTGCCAACTGTTTGCCTTTGCTGTAGTATTTTCTGGATACTTGTAGTCCTCATAAAAAGCAAGACCTTTTTGTGATTTTCTGTGACATAGTAAATAGAGTTAGTTATGAAATTTTCTGAATATGAGCACTGCTTTTGATTTTGTAATTTCCTTGGTGCCAGAACTTCTGTCCGGGCTTTTCTGTGTTGCAGTCTGCTATGCAATGCATAGCAGATTTGGGGAAGAATTCATTATTTAATGATAGTAATGAATGTGAAACGTGTATTCACCTATTAAATGTGCGCTTATTTTACCTATTTGCACCTCATCAAAATAAGTAGTGTATTAGTTCTTTGTAAAGGGTAAAGGCTGTTTAATCTCTTAAGCAATCCCAAACGGGTACATTTCTTACCAGAAATGCTTTAAATGCATTTTTACCATTAGTTTTGTTTCCTATCTCTGTTAGGATCTTAAGGACCTTGAGTTTACTATCCTAATCAGAGAAACATTTTTCTCTGGTAGAAAAAAATTGGGCTAAATCTTTCGCTCTTTGGTATCCCCAATTCCATTTCTGAGCTCCTGTCTACTAGTAAATAAGGTTTTTAGGAAATTTGCCAAAGAGCTGATGAAATTGCAGACAAATATGAGGGAAATAAGCAAGAATGATGGAAGCGTTTCTACGGAGGATGATGGCTGTCAAACAGCTATAAAACTGAGATTATCAATGAGTTCCAGAATTTAATTCAAAACAAGTAGATTTGATTACCATTTAGAGAACACTGCAAGGTTAATTGTTGGAACCTATAATATTCAAATCTGTGAAGAGATTTTAGAGGGTGTGAAAGAAAGTGTGTTCTTTAGCTCAGGCTTCCATAACAAAATGCCATGGACTGTGTGGCTTAAACAGAAATTTATTTCTCACAATTCTGGAGGCTGGAAGTCCAAGATCAAGTTGCTGGTTTGTTAGGTTTATGGTGAGAGCCCTCTTCATGTTTTGTGAATGGCTGCCTTCTCCCTGTGTCCTCACATGGCAGAGAGAGGAAGCAAGCTCTTTGGTGTCTCTTCTTAACAGGGCACTAATTCCATCAGGAGGTCCCACCCTCATGAATTTCTCTAACACTAATTCTTTCCCAAAGGCTTCATCTCTAAGTGTCATCTCATTAGGGGGTTAGGGCTTTAACATATAAATTTTGGGAGGACACAGTTCAGTCCCTAGAAGAAAGAGGGCTTTGTTTTTTAAATTTAATAGTGATCTTAGAAATTGAAGTGTTTAGGGCTAGGCATGGGATAACTGGGATAGGACCTCCAACCAAGTTGGAAAACTCTGAGTATATACATTGATGAGTAGCCAAAACAAAAAGGGTGAGCAAGCAACCCATAAAAGAGCCATCTGCGATTGTGTAGATTTTCAGTGTTCAATTCCCTGTGTTTTCAGAATGTATTAAAGCTTCAGAAGAATTTGGAGAGGCAGAGAACCATGATTTTTTTTTTTAATGAAAGTACAAACTGTTCAGTAATTTGTGTTTGCCATACTAAGTGCTTAATTCAGTCAAATGAATCTGTAAGGCCATATCACAGAATTCCTTCAGCTTATATTTCAGATCACTTTTATGCTGGGGAAAGAATGTTGACTCCTCAATTATGTAGGTGATTTATCATACTTAGTGACGTTAATTGAAAAATGGAACTACACAAATAGTGATTCAGATTTGCCCCTAAAAAGTAAGTGTGTCCACCCAACTACAATTTCATGTTGAAATGTAATGGGAGGGATTTAAGCAGGAAGGATTTACAAGAACTCAGAGATATAGAGATAGGAAATTAAGGTACATTCACCCCAAAAAATTGAAAAACAGGAATGAGTAAAACTCCATAATACAGTTCCTGACATGAGAAAATGAAGAGAAAAAATGGTGATCATTTAAGAAACATCTTACTATAGCCCTGAAAATAATTTTAAAAGCCTGTCCAGGTCCTTTCCCTAGTTTACTTAAGGTCATTAATTTATGGGTATTGGTTGAAATAAGCAGCAATAGTAACCCCCAAAATGAAAATAAGAGTGCTGCTTACAATTAATATCGTTCAGTTCTGGTCTAACTTCTGCCAGCCTGGGGACTTTTTATTTCATCTGTAGCTCATTAATAATTGACAGATTCTACCAGGTAAGCTTCACTGGAACATTTTCTCCCATGGAAGGCGCCCTCGGACCTACGCATCCCTTTTATTTTATTAAAAGTTCCACCAGGCCATTTTGTGTTACGGCCTTGCTATTAATATTTTTAAGGACGGCAGGAGACTGGAAATGAAGACCATTTTGGTGTTTCTCACAGGAATTCTGGTCTGTCTACCTTTTACACCTAAATCCTTTGTCCCCACAAACAAAAGCAGCTACTACAATGCTCAGGTCAGAGTCAGAATCAGATAACATCAGAGAGTCACACTCTCTCCTTCAGCTTTCAACACTGCAGTTCTGCCCAGCGGCTTGGAGCTACCTTGTATTATACATTCACACGTCAGGCCTGTATAATCCTAATACCCTCCTACACTGTCCTTGTCAGCTTTCAAATACTTCTATTTCTGAAGGCTTTTTGCACCATGCGCACACCTGTGTGTGTGTGTGTGTGTGTGTGTGTGTGTGTGTGTGTGTGTACATGCTCTGCTGTGTGTCACATTTATTCCATTTTGGACATTTCAGGTTGACATGACATAAACTTTTTACCTCTGTCACCAATGCACAAATACTTCTATTTCTGAAGGCTTTTTGCACCATGTGTGTGTGTGTGTGTGTGTGTGTGTGTGTGTGTGTGTGTGTGTGTGTGTGTACATGCTCTGCTGTGTGTCACATTTATTCCATTTTGGACATTTCAGGTTGACATGACATAAACTTTTTACCTCTGTCACCAATGCACAAATTTGCTGACATGATTGAGATGAAAGAAAGGCATTTGAGTACTATCATTCTTCTACTACTGTCAGTTCTGAACTGTCATTCTTCTCTCTAGATTTCCAGGGAGGGGCAGCCTAAAAGTTCCCTAAACCAAACCTGGAAAGTTGGCTAATTTCTCCATGACTAGCCAATAACAGGCCATGTTTTTCTAGTGTTGTGGAGGGCACAGGAGGGCCAGATGAGGCTGATCTGCCTCCTTGTCAAGGTGCGGGCACGTGCTCCCTTCTCTCTTTGCGCTGGAGCAGGGTCCTCAGTGCTGTTACTGCAATGGGAGGGGAGGAGGGGGTGCACTGGCCCAGACCTCAGCAGGCCTGAGCCTTGCTTTTCCCTGGCTGGATCCAGAATACTTGAAAAAGACAAAGACTCTCCTGAGTGGACATTCCCTGAGCAAAAGGACATGAGAAATTGCTTCTCCCTAGAAACCCACTACATCAGGATGCACTTGAACGTTTCATGCTCTGTACCAACCTGGCCAGCTGGAAGGACAAATTTGGGGAAATGTTTTTTGACATACTCATTCTTTTCTCCCCATTCTTTGTCAAATGTTACACATTCCCTGGCAGAGACTTTTTTTTTTTTTATAGTTCCCTTTCGGTTCCTAGTAATTTCAGAACTTCCACCCTCCTAGACCAGCAACTCGCTTCTCCTCTCTCTCTTTAGGATGCCAGAGATGGTTCTCCATTTCTTTTCTCCCATTTTTCCCATTTATTTTTATGCTGACCCTGTTGTGTAAACTGAAGGTGAACATAGGGGAGTGCCTGTAAGATGTACAAGAGTGAGGGTCACGTGCAAGGTTAAGGCAATTGTAGGCTGCTCCTCCCTGTGTCTACCTGTTCACTGTATGAAGCTTTAAAAGGCCATTACAGTGTTAGCTTCTATCTTTGCTCACTCTGAAATCCATACTGGAGTGGAATGGAAATCTAATACTTCACTCATTTCTATGGAGGAATTCAGTGAATAAGGATGAATAAAAATGACAGAAAAATAGTTTCTTTATATCTTTTCATCTCTCTATTCTCAAAATTCTAATTCTCCCACTTTGTAATAAATTGGAATTCTAATTAATCTCTGTCTTCTCAATTCCTACTGAAAAAAATCATGGAAAGCCATTAACATAGTGCCAATAATAATGCGAACTATTACCATTGTTGTTTTGTGTCATAATTATTAATATTATTATAACATTTTTTAGCAATCCTAAACTGGTTTTGTATCTATTTCTACTTTCTAAAGACATGATTGTGCGTTTACACACTCAAAAGCTCAAAAGTAAATTGTAACAAGGCAATTGCATACTTGTGCTGAATAGACTTGCATTCATAACAGGAAGCTGTGAGAAAGAACAGCCTTGAATTTCTGCAAGAAAAAAAAATGATGAAATATACTTAGGTTTTTAAAGGCATTTTATTCCCTATCTTTTGTCCCTCTAGACTTTGTGGATTTGAACCGTTCTATGATGAAAGAGGTGATCAGTTCATGTTCAGAAGAATTCTGAATTGTGAATATTACTTTATCTCCCCCTGGTGGGATGAAGTATCTCTAAATGCCAAGGACTTGGTAAGTACGAGCACAATGAAATGAAAAGAAATTAAATGAAATAAAATCCCTCACATTCATTTTTTAGCTAATTAATGCGCAGTGTCATTTTTAAAATTTGCCACTCTTAATATCTGATTTCTTTGTAATTGTAAAGTATTTTAAATAAAACAATGCACACTAATACATTTTCTTTATAGATAATGAAAAATACCAGAGGTGCCAAAAAATGTATACACATGACTTGTATTCATCTTTTGTTATCATTATATATTGAGTATTACAATTTTAATACAGTTTTTCCTGTCTTAAAATAAGTATACTTTTTTTTTTGGCAGCCTCTGTAGATATGTTTGATTTATCACTAGCTGAATTGGCACAAATTACAAATTATTGCAGTATTAATTAATGATTTTTTACCACCTAGTCGATGTAGAGCCTTGTGTATGAAGACCGCTGTGCTGGATGAGTCCAAACATAATTTACCCATAACTCTGTTTTTACATGGCTTACAATTACCTAGAGTTGGTTATATTTCAAATGAAACATTTCCCTTGAAATGTTTAAAATTATATTAAAATACCCTGATAGTAACACACAACCCATCATGCATCATTGGCATTATTACACTGTACTAACAATGCATTTTGTTTGGTGTTTTTTTTTGGTTTGTTTTACTTAGCGTCTTACACTAATAATTAAGTTTGTTTATATTTAGGAAACTCATACCTCTGAGGCCATGGGCCACCTGTTCTAAAATAACGAGGATGCTAGCATGGGATGAAAACATTTACCATCAATCCTTTAGAGAAAAACCATGCAGAAATAACTAAACGCTGACTTTTGAATCACAGAGGTCAGATCTCCAAGGGATCTTAGGAGTCATCTAGTCTTCCCCTCATTTTAAAGATGAGTGTGCTACAGCCCACAGAAGTGGAAGGACTGTCCAAGGTCACAGAGCTTCCCAGCAGAAAGTCATTGTCAGGCACGAATGATCCAGATTTCCAGGCCCCTTATTCAAAACTCTTTTCCCTCCAAACATTTTCATCTTACCATCCATGTTCTTTGATGAGGCACACCTTCTACAGGCCATGCCTTTTCCAGTGTGCCTGGAAGAGAGGGAGTAGTATGTGTGATGTGTGGCTGTGTCACCCCAAGTCTGCTGTCAAGTCAAGCCTCACACTCCTAAATATGTCTCCACCTCCACCACCACTGTCCAATCCAAGCCCCCGTCCTCTCCCACTGGACCAGTGCCACAACCTCCTGTCTGGTCTTTCTGCCTCTTCTCATGTCCTTCTCAAGTAATTCTCCACATGAGATCCAAAGGACTGTCTTAAAAATAAATCACATCACTACTTTAAGGCTCTTAGGATAAAATCCAAGATCTACCCAACATTGCCTGGTCTGGAGCCTGTCACCCTCTCCCATGCCACTCATTTCACATCACTTTCCTTTGATCTATCTTCAATTGGGTGCACCAGACTTCCAGTCCCTTATCAGTATAGCTCTGATTATGGGCCATTGCTCTCTCTTCTGCTTTGTAATGTTCTT